ACCCCAACCCCAACCCCAACCCCAACCCCAACCCCAACCCCAACCCCAACCCCAACCCCAACCCCAACCCCAACCCAAACCCCTACATTAACCATAACCTTAAATTATTCTAATTATTTGTTTTAATTTAATTATATGCATATATATTTATTTTTTTAATATTCTTACAATATTATCTTATATTCTTTAAAAAATGTTTTAAACTTTTATATAAATTATAAAATTTTTATGCAATTAAATTATATATCTTATATATAAATAAATACATAATAATTTATAAATTGCATGAATAATTATAAAATTAATTAGGTATTTAAATATAAATAAATTTTGATAATATATTTAAAAAAATGAATATTCGTTTTTATTAAAAAATTAATATGTTTAATAGTTATTAAAATTATTAGAATATTTAATATTTATATATTAATATAATAAAATAGATTTTAAAAAATATTAATTTCTAATTTAAAAATATATCTACTTATTAATATAGAAAATGCCTTTATTAAATTAATTTTTTAATTTTGCTTTATTTATTATCATAAAGTTCTGAAATTCTGCATGCCAGAATAATATAATTTATAGATTCTATAAAATTGTAGTAAGTTTATATTAAATTAATTATTATTATATTATTAGTCTTAAAATTAGCCTAATTTTCATCAATAAAATCTTTAACAAATTGCTACAAAAATCCAAATTGCTACTATTTGTAAATTATTTAAAATTTTATTTACAGATTATAAGGTAGATAATTGCATATTTAGGCAATAAAAACAGCCAATTTTTGCACTAAATATTTATTTATGCATCTTTTTTTCTTTTGTTTAGAAAATAAAGCTTTCTATTTTTCAATGTGTTTTTTGACTAGATTAACTTTTAATTTAAATTTCTTATCCAATCCTTTACTCCATTTAAAATATAAAAGCCAACTAACATTTTCTTTAACATATACTTATAAATGTAATAATTAATCAGAATCTCATTAAAGATATCTAAGGGAAAATTCTAATAATGTTTCAAAATATATTAAAACTTTCATAAATTTATTTATTTTGGTTTTCGAAACTAAATCATTCAATATATGTTATACCTTCAGACCATTAAATTAATTAAAAAGAAGATATAAGGGTATACATTAGAGCTATTTAGATTATCAAAATTCGAATAAAACTGGTTTTTTACATTTTCCGTACGGAAGTGATACAAAATAACCGATAAAGTTAACTTTTTATAATTTTTTATGTATATTTTAAACATTTTGCTTTGATTATCTAAGAATTTATATATGAGAGGATTCTTAAGTTATATAATTTATATTTTTTATATAAGGATCTTGATTGAAATGTATGTAATATTATAAAATTTAGAATATATATATACTTTTTAAATTTTTTAAGTTTCTATAAAAATTTTTAAAAACAATATAGTATATAAAATACGCGTAAAAAAATGGATTATGGAATTTTTTAAAATGAGTTTCGAAAAAAAATATGCTAAATAGTAATATATAAATATTGTATTATTTTTAAATAAATATAAAAAATAAATAATAATAATATATATTTTATTTATATATAAAATTAATTTAAAAATAAAAAATAATATTTATTTAATAAATAAAATAATATTAATTTTATTTAATATAATATTTAAAGAATATAAAACATTACAATTTTTATATATTTTAAATTTAAATGTTTTAAAGTTTATTTAATTTAAATATCTATTAATCTATAATAATAAATGTTGATAGTACTTATTATTTATAATTTATATTTATAATAACTAATATATGAAATATTAAAAGTTTAATATATAAATAAAAGTTTTTAATTATATATATAATTTCATTAAAATTTTTAACCATAAATAAATAGAAAAAAAAATTATGAAAGACGAGAAAAACCAAAATATATATCCAAAAAATTAACATACATATGAATTATAATAATATTTTGTTGCAAAGCAAAACAAATATATATAATAAGCAAATATTAATGTATCAAATAAATAAAATTATTATAAAAACCCTTCTTCATAAGAAAAAAAACATTCAAACAATAGAAACAAAAGTTAATCTAAAGTCCTCTAAAATTTAACGAAGTTTTAATAAATAGATAATTTTAATGAAGCTAAAAAATTATTCTAAATAAATAATATTTCTGCTAAAGATATTTAAAATTATAAAGATCCTTCGAATGGAAATTTATTAATTCATAAAATTATATTTTATTAAAACACTCTTGATTTTATGAAATTCATTAAATAGTATACTAATATAGATTTAAACTTAACTAACTAAGCAAAGGAAACTCCATTAATTTTAAGTTGTCAAATGTATTTATATTATAAATATAATTTATATAAATATAATAAATAGAAACAATTATGAATTAGTTAAATATTTACTTGAAGATAATAACATTAATATTGGTATAAATATGTAAGATATACACGGAAATACCGCTCTACATTACGCTTGTATAAATAAAAATGAAAAAATAATATAATTATTACTAGATTAAAAATAAATAGATCCAGAAATAGTAAATTAATAAGGTTAAAAAGCCTAAAACTATTTTTAGAATCTTCAAATATTTGAAAGTATTAAAAAACAGGAATTAGTAATATCAAGATAATCTTCTTTTTTACAATTAAGGAAAATATCTTCATAAAAAAGTTTTCATTCATAATTAAATTCGCTATTAAATCGTTAAAGAAATCATTCTTCACTTAAAAATTTGCCGATATCTTAATAAAGTCGGAAAAATATACTTTTTATATGCAATTAAACACTTTCTAAAACTTAGTTAAAGACAAACGATGAATTAACTTTGGAAAAATAAAACAATACTTTTTTACAATAGAGTGATTAATAAATCAAAAAAAATAAAAAATATTATCATAAATCAAAATTTATATAACCTTTAAATAAAAAAAAAGCGGAATCTCTTTCTTAAAGAAATCTTCAGTAAATTAAATGTAGAAAATTTTAAATAAATAAACTACTTATAGTTAATAATATAAAGGTATCAATATTTATAATGTTATCAAAAAAATTGGGAATGGTAGCTTTGGAGATGTTTATTTAGTTCAAAATATTAAAAATTAAAAATATTATGCTATGAAAACTTTGGAAATTGAAAAATTAACATGTAATTATTTATATGTATTTTCTATATTTCTTTTTTAAAACATAAAAAGAAAATGATAATTTAAAATATGCGTTTTCGGAAAGAAGTATAATAAAAAAATGCAATTCACCATTTATAATAAAGCTATACCATTCATTTGAAACAGAAAGGCATTTAATTATGATATTAGATTATTGTCCTGGTGGTGACTTGTATTCATTATTATAAATAAAATATAGATTTTAAGAAGATTTAGCAAGGAAATACTTAAGTGAAGTTCTTTTAGCAATAGAAGAATTACATGTTTAAGATATAATGTATCGAGATATGAAGCCTGAAAATATAGTAATATGTTCAGATGGACATACTAAACTAATTGATTTCGGTTTATCAAAAGAAAATATTGGTAAAACAACTTCTTAATCTTTTTGTGGATCGGGTGCATATTTGGCTCCTGAAATTATTGGGGAAAAAGGTCATAATAAAAGTGTGGATTGGTACTAATTTGGTATTTTAGCTTATGAGTTAATAGTTGGTTAACCACCTTTTAACTATATGGATAAATAAACTCTTTATTTTTATATTTAAAATAAATAAGTTGAATTTCCACATTTTGTTTCAGACAATGCTTAAGATTTAATTAGAAATGTATTTTTTATAAATTATTTTCATTATTTTTTATTTAAGTTATTACATAAATAACCTGAATTAAGATTAGGTGGAACTGGAGGCGCATTATAGATTAAAAAACATCAATTTTTTGAAGGAATAATTTGGGAAAATGTAAATAAAAAATAATTAGATATGCATATTCCTAATTTTGAAAATATTAATAACGAAAAAATTGATGTTTCATTTAAAATTAAAGAATTAACTGAATAAATGTTTCCTAATTGGTATTTTTTAGATTAATAAGAAATTACATTATGACTTTTTATAATAAAATACTTATATTCATTTATTAATTATAATTTAAAAAAATAATAAAAAAACAAGAATAAAATTATTTTTGTATCTAAAATTTAAAATAAAAAATATAAAAATGTCTTCAAATAAATAAAAATATTAAGATTTGCATGATTAATAATAATAAGAAAGATAAATAATAAAAGAAGTTGAAGTTATTTATGTTCCATTTCCAACCCCAATACATGCTTTACAATTTCCTACACAAGGAAAAGATAGTTAGGAGTTTGAAAAGTATTTGCAAATTTCATATTGTGATTATAAACCATTATAAAAAAAATTAGATATACATTATAAATTGAAAAATAAAATAGAAAATTTTGTTTTAAAAAAAGATGATAATAATCTAATGTATAATAAAAGTGGTGATTAAAATTAATTTTAAACAGAAGAAGACGAAGAAAATAATAAAGATGGAAAAGGAAATACAGCAGTAACTTATACATCTAAATTAGTTTCAAATTAAACAAATTATTTTGCTTCTAAATATGATTAAGTAAATAATAAGCTTCTTTTTTTTGGAATCGACAGTTTTTTGTAAATGCGTCCGAAAATTTCGGAAAGAAGAACTATTAAAGAGAAAGAAAGCATTTAAAAAAGTCTTGCAAAATTAAGTAAAGATAGAGAAAGAGATGAATAGTTAAGAAAAAGACACCCTTAAAAATATGTAGAAATGAAGTTAAAAAATTTTAACTCTTTTAAAGAGATTTATGAATCTGAAGAAAGTATAAGATTAAATTATCATGAAAATATTAACTTTTAAACTGAAAAGTAATTTAGATCAATTTCTGAACCTCCAAAAGATCTTATTCATTTAAATCCTGTTACTAAAAGTGAGTTTTAGGAATAACTTGAATCTGGCGGAAACATATGAAAACTTATATATTTAAATAATTATAAATTTATTTCTAATTAAAAATATTTTTTGTTCATGTTAAAAAACATTTTTTCCCTATATATAGTTTTTCAATTAATTTTATAAAAGAAAATTGTATTTTTTTATAAGAGGCGATATTTATTTTTCTAATAAAAAATATTCGCTTGAAATTTTTATTTTTATTTTTTACAAAAATATAACCTAAAAAGTAAATTTTTAAGACCATAAAATAATTTGTATAGATCTCAACGAGGTAAATTGTGAATCTGCAGTCAAAAATGATTATCCACCTCAAATAAATTATAAATTGAATTGTTTTTTAAAAATTAAAATGCTAAAAAAGTCTTCAAATAAAATTTAAAATATGTTAAATAATTAATTAACTAAAAATAATCTTATTAATAGTTAGTTTTGAAACTAGACTATATAAAAGAGATAAGTATATTATAAAAAACGAATTAGAACAATTTAAATAAAATAAATTAGAGAAAATTGAATAGAAATTTATTAAAAAACGAATTGTAATAATATTGAATAAAAAAATTAATATAATTATATCAAAAAGAAATCCTAAAGAAAATTTATATATGTTTAAGAATTTATTTTTATTCTAAAGTATTCAAAATAAATAATATTTTAACAAAAAATTTATTTATAATATAAAAATAAATATTATATTTATTTAACTAAATTACATTTTTATTAAGCAAAACACTAAAACAAAAACAAAAACAAAAACAAAAACCAAAACAAAACAAAGCTAGAATTTCAAAGTTAAATTTAATATTTTTGAAATATTATAATTAATTAAAATTAAATAATGATTATATATATATTCCTAATATAAATGAAAATCTAATAGTATGTTCTATTATTGTAAAACTATAAAACCTTGAAAAATTTCGTTTTTAAAACATATTAATTATATTAATTCCAATTTTATAATATATATAGTCTTTAATCCATTATAATAAATATCTTAATTATATTTAAAATTTGTATCTTTTTATTTATTTTCTATTTATAAATTTTAATTTTATATTTTTTTTTTTAAAAGATATTTTATTATTTTTTTTAAATTTTGTTGAAACAACTTTTAATTTTTTTTATAAGATATTATAATTTTACAATTTAAAAATATTTTTATTTAGAGATTAACCATTATTACTTTATTTGTTGAATTCATCTAAAAGAAAAAATTATTATTTGTTTAATCTGCTTTTTTTATTTTTCTGTATTTTTTTTAAATTTCAATCGACAAAAAAAAGGAGAGATAAAATGGATAATGGTATTTTTTATTGTTTATTAAAATTTAAAAAAGAATAAAAAAAAATATGAACAAGTATTAGTATTATAAATAATTAATTTTCTTGAAATTTTAAAAGCAACTAATAACATTATATTATAATTTTTAATTATATTTTTATTTTATATATATTTTAATATGTTTTCTATTTTATTTTTTATTCTGATGAATTACTATTTTATTATCCAATTATACATAATATATTTGAAATCAAGTTTCATTTATTTTTCTATATAAAATTTATTATTTTTAATAGATTTAATATATAATTAAATGATTTTTATTTAAACAATTTTATGCATCAATCATGATTTAAGATAAGTATTTAAATTGCTATTATATTTAAAAAATAACATTATTGATTAATTGATATTTTAATTATTTGAGTAGTAATTACTAATTTTATTATATTAATAATTTATTTTTATTTTATTTTATTTTATTTAGAAAGTTATTATATTTGATGTTATTTGCTTTTATTATTATAAATTTAGCCATTATATAGTTTTATGATTATTTTTATTTAAATTAAATTATTAGTAATTTACATAATATTTTTTTTTGTGAATAATCTTATTTTTAATATATTATTATTAAAAAAATTTTTGATTCATTTCACTTTTTAATTAAAGAATTGTTATATGTGTTAATCTTATTAAGTTTATTTATTATTTATTGCTTAATTATATTATTATTATTTTGATTTTATCTTTATTTCGTTTTATAATATTTAAAATAAATACATAATTATTGTATAATATTCAATATTGTATCTTCATAAAAAATTAATAGTTTTTATTTATTAATCATTTTTGAAAATAAGATTTGTTTAATTTTTTGTTTAAATTTAATTAAGGGATATAATAATTTAATTTTTTAGTAAATTCTTAGATTAATTATTGAAATAATGTTTTTAATCTTTAAATTCTTATTTAAGATTTTAAATATATTATTAAGTAATAGGTTGATTAGATATATATATTAATAATCTAAGAGATTATAAAATTTTTATTCTTTTAAATAATTTAAATATTAAACTTAAAGTTTTATATAATATTATATTAGAATTAATACATAAATATATATATATATATATATATTGTTTAATATATTATAATATTGAGTTTTACAATAAATTTATTTAATAATAATTTACTTTAATACAAATATTTTAAAAATTTTATATATTTTTTTTAATCTAAATATAATAAAAAAAAATTATTACAAATTTTTAATTTTGTAAAAATATATTAAAAATAAAAAATAGTTTCAATTCATAAAATTCAAATATTATATTTCTTCTTAATTAATTCTTACTTCTTATGATATAACAGATTTTTTTGATTAAATCTAATTTAAAAAAAAAATCCATACCTATTTATTATTTAAAAAAAAAAAAAAAAAAAAAATTATAATAATATAATAATAATAATAATAATAATAATAATAATAATAATAATAATAATAACAAAATTAATGATTATTTTTATTGTATTTAAATACTTCTAATTATTTAAATTGTAATTTTTAATTATCAACAAAGTTTTCTATTAATTTATTAAAATCTTATTCAATTTCAACAGATTCATAATCATAAAATATTTGATTATATTCACATCCTTCTATTTTTTTAATAGAAAAATTAAAATCTTTAACTTTTTAGTTATCAAAATAAGTCACTGATTTTAATTATGAATAAGTAGATAATGTATATTACAAATTGTTTTTTATTTGTAATTTAAATGTTTCATCTTCTTTAAATAAGCACCCTACAAATACACATATAATATTTAGTATATTATCGATTAACTCATATTAATTAAGTTATAATAATAGATCTATATTAAAGCAACCTTTAAGGATTAGAACTTTAATATAAAAAATAATTGATTTTTTAATAATATTTCCAATATTTCCTATCATTTTGCTATTTAATTAATTTATGAAATGTAATAAGTTTATTAAGTTATTCATTGTATTCTTATATTCTTTTACTTCAGAGAACATAATAAGAGTTTGATTGAAAATTTTGATAATCTTTCTTAAAGAACTATAAGTTTAATTTAATTATTTAATTTCGTTTTCATTATTTTATTAATATAATTAAGGAAAGTTTTTATTTAGATAAATTTCTATATTTTTTTCTTCATTTAGATTTTCTTTTCTTTACCTAAAGATTTCGATTTTAGTATCAACAATTTTATTTAATTTTTCTTTTACTGCATAATGTTAAAATTAGCTATTTTAAGCCAAAAAATTTTAGAAAGTATTCAGCTCTTCAATAATTTTTAAATTTTATACATCAAATAATTTTAATTATTAATTATTACAATTGTTGTTATTATTTTTTATTTAATCAATATAAACTTAAAGTTCTTTTTTTACTCCATCAAATTAATTTTCTATTATTTCCATATCAACTTTATCAGTTAACAATTTATCATTTTCTTAAACTTATTTTATTAATTTTTAACTAATAAATACTTAATTATTATTTTTAATTTCTTAATTTTTTCTCTCTTAGTTTTTATAAAATAAGCAACAAGCATTTTTTGTTGAATCTTCCCTTCCAAAAGCTTCCATTAATAGATCTTCTTAATTAGCATCTGTCACTACTCTATCATTATATTTGAACCATTTTTTTTATTATTCATTATAAATATAACAATAATAATGTCCAGAATTAGAATTTCCATCATGCATTAAAACAGAAAATAATTAATATATATATTTTTAAGAATTAGTATATATTTAATTTCTTTTTATTTTAATTAGTCTAACTATTACAAGGCTTTCTACTTATTATTGTTATGATATTGTTTTTATTATTTTAAACTATCTAATAAATCTAGTAATTTCTAATCATGACTTTAATTAATGTTTGAATCAATCTTTATTTTAATAAAAAATATACTAATTATAATTTATTTTTTACATCGAAATCATCTATATCAAGAAATTCTTCATTCTCTGATTATTATTTTTGATAAAAAGATATCAAATTCTATAATGATTACTCTAGACTAAATTCATTATATTATTTAATTTAATTCTGTAGAAAATCAATTTATTTATCTATTTTTATTAGTTATTTTCTTTCTTCAAGGGTAAGATTTTCATCATTTTTCTATTAATTTTCTTCATTTATAACACAAAACTTTCTGATATAAATTTCTTTATCAAAGCAAAAAGTATCATTTAACTTGATTGTGCTATAACTCTGTTTATCAAAATCAAGTCGATTAATATAAAATATCATTATTTGGGGGGGTGATTTGATTTTGTTATTAATTTTAGCTTAAACTTTAATTCCAGCGTTAATTTCATAATCAGGAATTTCAAATTTCTATGAGGCATCTAAAGCAGAATACAATTCTCCATGTTTAACATTAAGATTAATAATCCCTTAAACATATTCATTATATTTACTAATATAATTTTATCCTTCTTAAAAGCTTATACATTCTTAAACTTTTCCATAGAATAGATCTGTTATAGGATTAGTGAATTTTATTTCTTCTTTTTATAAATCATTATCCTCTAATTTTTTTTGTTAGCTTTTTGATGAAAAATAGTCTATTTTATTTGGAACAATTAAAATAGGTTTTTAAATAAAACTTCTTTCTTGTTATTATAAACCATTATTTAGCCTTAAGTATATATTAAAACTTTTTTCCAATAATTCAAAAGCACAATTTTAAAATTCCCAAAAATCATTTTCTTCCCCTATTTTAAATACTTCACCATTTATTTTTCTAAGAATTTCAAATAAAGTTTTTGGATTTTAATATTTTTATTTGCCTTTTAACATATTGGCAAATAAAAGTTAAAATTAATAAAGTAACTCATAATATAGAATCCTTTCTTAGTTTTATTCTTACTCTAGTTCATCTTCTATATTTACTTGAAATAAAAATTCTCTTAAATCCTTAATACTGAATAGTGTTTATATTACAACATTAAAATAACAAGCTCTTTTTTTAATTTTTATTGTTATTTTTTTTTATTTACTTCTTCCTAAATTCATAAGGCCAACTGGAATATTCAAATCTTTTCGAATCATTTAATTTGGATGTTCTTCTGTTTTTAAAGATAATTGTATAGCTTTTTATATTAAGGAATCATTTTCTGAGGATTTTAAAGCCTTTAAAGGTGTAGGTTGATTGCTTTGTTTATAAAATTTTTTATATTGTTTTTAAAAATACAAATGTTTTACTTTGATAACTTCATTATTTCTTAATCAACTTGAGAAGGTATAAATTTAGCATTTTTCCATGCTTAATAAATTAAGTATGGAGAAAATCCTAACTCTTTATAAAATGATAAAATCGCTTCAAATGAATTTTGAGATCTGAATAGATTTATAGTATTATTCATTTTCGATTCTATGTTCTTTAACTTTTTATTGTTATTTTAATAATTATTATTATTATGATTTCAAAATTTATTATATGCTTATAATCGATTTTTTCTATTATATAATATATAAATATTATTATTATTTTTTTATAAAAAAATATATATTAAAAGCTCTTAATTTAATTAATATTTTTCTATATATATAAATAATAAAAATGAAAATTTTTTAATTTAAATATATATATATTATAATAAATTATAATAATTAATAAAAATTGGAATAATATAATTATTAATAATGTAATTAAAATTAATAATTATTAATACATATGCTATCTTTATATATAAATATAAAAATAATTATATGAAAAAAGCATTTTATATTTTTAGTAACATAAAAAGTAAAAAAAGTAAAATTTTTAATAATAAATTTGTTAAATAGTAAAATAAATCACTAGATTATATAATAATTTTTAACAAATAAATTATAATCAGAATAAAAACTAAAAAAATAAACCAATAAGTTTATTAAAAAACAACTAACTACATATAATCTGAATTATAAGAAATATAATATAGAAATTCTTTATAATTATCATATTATAATATAAAATCTCTCCTAATAAGTAATATAACATTTGTAAAAAATAAAATATGTAAATAACCATAAAAAATGAACAAAAAAAACATTAAGAAGTGATATAAAAAAAAATTACAATACATAACACCCCAAAATCAATATCTAAAATTTTAAATAAGTGATTAAAGGTTAGAAAAACTAACTAAAATTCTAAATATTCACATTTAAAAATAAAAAAAATTGGATGAAAAATTTACTTAATTAAAGTGACAATATTGAGAAACAAAAAGTACTAATATAAAATAAGATAACAAAAATAATTATGAATTCGATTTTAATTCTAAGATTTACAAATAGAGTTACAAAAAAAGAATTTAATTTATAATCTAGATTTTTATTGTAAGAAAATCAAATATGACATTTATAAGAGTATTTAAGCTGAAAAGAAATGTATTTTGAGCAGATTAATTGAGTAAAAATAAATATGGCAGAAAGTAAGCTCAAAAATTGCAGAATATAGTTTTTTTATTAAGATAATAGCTTGAAAATTTTACAAAAGATACTTTGAAGAAAATAAAGATTTAAAATAATTTTATTTTATCAAGATTTTTTTTAATAAAAATATATTATCTAAAATATATAATTTTTTTTTGAAAAAAAACAGATATTTATTAAAAAAAAGGAAAATACTTCAATTTAATACAGATTAAATAGAGAATCAAATAAAAAATATAAAGGAGCATCTTGAAAACTAAAATAAATGTGGCGAAATATTAACAAGTATAAATTACTAAAATTATCAAAATTTAAATAAAAATGTAAATTAGACTAAAAGCAAGAGCATAAATTAGTTAAATATGATAAAAGAATCCGAAAGAAAACATTGTCCAACTTGAATAAAGATAAAGTAATCATAACCTAAAATTAAGAAAAAATATTCTTCTATTAGCAAAATTAAGAAAAACATATTACTAAATATGAAGAAAAGATTAAAATAATAACCGAAAATTTAACTGAGAAAATCAACTTTTTCATAATCCAACTAAATCAACTCCAAATATTAATTCGGTTAATGTATGAAAAAAAGAATTTTTAATGAAAAATAAACAAATTAGAGGTTGTATGACGAAAATAATTTTTAATAGTAAATAAACAAACAAAAAACCATAATAAAAATTAATATTGAAAATTTAAATAATTTAGAAAAAAATCGTTAAAACATTCATATACAAAAGTGGAACAGAAAAAATTTAAAAAATAGGTTAGAAAATTCAGAAAAAAATCTAAAAATTAAACAATGTTTTTTGAATAAAAAAATGAATAATTTAAATTTATTAAAAATAAATAATTTTAAACGAAAATTACTTAGAATAACCTATTTTAATAAAAATGTTAAAAACAAATACTTTTCTTAATTAATTTTTTACAAAATTAAAAAATCGATTTTTATTCCATATTTTTTTTATAGGATATAATGAGTTATAATAAATCTTTTATACTATATTTATGAAATATGTTGCTATAAATATATACAATAAGCCTTTTAATTATAATATGTAAAATTAATTCTTTATTTATATAAAAATAAAAATACTTCTAAGGAAAATAAAGAATCATTAAAAATACTAAAAATACTTTCAATAATAATGTTAAAATACTTCAATGATAATCAATATTGTTAAAAAATGAAATTATTAAAATTAAACAAAAAATATATTAAAAATGTTCATGAAATGGATTTTGAAAAAATTGAATATTAAAATATTTGAAAAAATAATAGTTCTTATTCATAAGCTAATTCTTGTAAAATTTTTCTTGTTTCTAGTATTAAGTAAAACAAAGAATTCTCTAATAGCGATGATGCTCTTATTTTGTGGAAATAAGAATAATAAAAATTTTCTTTATAATCTAAAATAAAAAAATTAATTTTGGAATTTTCTTATTAAATATATTTTTTTTATTTAATAATTTATCAAATTTATATTATGTTATTTAAATTATATTTATTTTAAAAAGAAAATTTTATTTTATATATATTTTTTATTTATATAAAAAATTTTATTAATTTTTATAAATATAAATGAATTTTTAATTAAAAAAAAAATATTTTATAAAGTAAGTAAAAATTTTTATGCAAATATTTTTAATTATTTTAATTTTATTTATAAATAATAAAGAAAATTGATTAAACAAAAAAAAATTCATTAAATAAAAAAAATTAAATGTTTGTATTTTCTTGTTTAAAATAAGTAAAAAAAATAAAATAGAAAATAATAGCATTTTTTTAATGATAAATTTTTTTATAGTTAATAAATAATGTATAAAAAAAAAAAAAAATGTTATAAAAATTTTAAAAAATAATAATATAATTATTATGATTTCTTAAAAAGAAAATTTATATAATAATATTTTAATGATCATTTCAAAATTTAAATAAAAAAAATATATAAAGATAAAACATTTATAAAATAAAGAAATAATTATAAAAAATAATGAATACAATTTTTTATAATGATATAAATATATGTATTAATAAAATTATAAATGAAAAAATATTAATAAATATTTTTACTTATAAATATTATACGTGGATAATTATAATTATTTAATAAATAAATTTTATTATATAAAAAAAAAAAATATTGAATAATAAATATCTTTTATTATATAATAAAAAAAATTATAATAATCTTATTTTTATTCTTAATAAAATATTCAAAAAAATGATACATAAAATAAATTATTTATTTCCATAAAATTTTATAATAATAAAAAATAATTAGAAAAATTTAAGTTTAAAATAATAAAAAAAATTATATTTAAAAAAGTGATTATATATTTAAATAAAATTAAATTTTAAAAAAATAAAAAATTAATTAATTTTATAATATAAATTATTTTATAAAATATAATAACCATTTATAATAATAAAAAAAAAAAACTATATTATTAATATATATATTATATATATTTATATATTTATATATTTATATATTTATATATTTATATATTTATATTTTATTTTATAAGAATTTAAAATAAAATTAAAAACAAAACCTTATAAAGTTTTTATAAAACTATTTAAAATTATTAAAAATATATAAATAATAAAATAAATGGGAAATTGTAATTTATTATGTAAATAAACTTCAAATAATATTTAAATTAGTAATTCAACATTATTTAATTAAAATAACTATTAAATAAATAAAAATTCAGTTGAAACTCCATAATCAATTTTAGATTAAAACATTTAAATTTTTAATTAAATTATTTTACACTCTCATCCTTATAGTGATTACTAAAAATTAGCTTCTTTAGGACAAGGTGCCTATGGAACAGTTTTTTTAGTAAAATAAAAAAAAAGTTGTAAATTGTATGCAATGAAAATAGTAAAAAAAGATAAAATTATGTAAAATTAAAAAATAATAGAATCAACTTTATTAGAAAAAAAAATTCTTCTTGAATGTGATAGTCCATTTATTGTTAAGTTAAGTAGATCTTTTTAAACCTAAAAAAAGCTTTATATTATAATGTAATTTATGCCAAACGGAGATCTTTACTCAGTTTTATAAAAATAAAAAAGATTTTCTGAACATATAACCAGGTTTATTATTGCTGAGGTAAATTTAATTAAGTACTTATTATAAAATAATTTTTGTATTAAATATAAAATAAAATTTAGTATTTAACTTTTATTTTCAATCATATATTTTATAGCATTTTATTTAAGTGTTTTTTTATCTTTTGGTTTTTTTTATAATTAACTCGATTGTTATTTAAGATTCAGATAAATTTTAATATAATTATAAAAATACAAATTTTTTAAAAATTATATATTTATTAAATTATTCAAAATTAAATTAAAAATAATAAATTTTATTTAATATAATCATAAACTTTTAAATTTAAAAATACAAATATTATTTAATTTCTAAAATTTAAATATTATTTATTTTTTTTACAAAAAAAAAGGTAATATTAGGTTTACAATATTTGCATGAAAATCAGAACTCAATGTATAGAGACTTAAAGCCTGAAAACATATTAATATCTAAAACAGGTCATATAAAATTAGCAGATTTTGGTTTAGCAAAACAATTTGCTTCAGAGGAGGAAAAAGAAAATGCATTTTTAGGAACTCCATATTATTTAGCACCTGAAGTTATTTTAGGAAAACCATATGACAAATCAATTGATTTATGGACTTTAGGAGTTCTGATGTATGAATTATTAGTTGGACGGCCACCTTTTTTACCTTATGGGAATATGGATTAAGATGAAATGTACAAAGAAATTGTTAAAAATTAACCTGAGTTTGATAATGAAATTTTTTCTATTTAAGCTCTTGATTTAGTAAAATAATTAATGCATAATGAACCTTAGAAAAGATTGGGTAACTAAGGTTTTTTTCATATTAAAAATCATGAGTTTTTCAATAAAATTTAATGGGATAAAATTGCTAAAAGATGCATCGAATCACCTCTCCTACCTTTTTTGAATAAAAAACCTTCTAGACAATATAGACCTAAGTCTATTTATGAGAGTCCAATTAGAAATAAAGATTATTATGTTACTATTCCTAACTTTAGCTTTACTAGAGATGAATCTTTGAATTATTGAAATTATTTTGTTTATAAATTTCTCTTTTTTTTCTACTATTTTTTTATTAATGCTTTTAACAATACATAAATTAATTTAAAATATAACTATTTTTGATATTATATTATTCTGTTTTTACTTTATAACTTTTTTATCAATTTTTAGTATAATCTGTTTATTCTTTTATAAATTTTGAATTCATTTACAAAATAATTTAAATTTTAAACTATTAATTACTAATTTTTTAAGTAAATATAAAGGCTTATTAGAATCATAAAATAAAACTTAAGTAATTAGTAAAGAGTGGATATAAAACTAAAAATTTAATAAGAATAATTATAAAATTAAAAAAATTATGTATAAGCTGAATATATTTTATGTTTTAATTAATAAAATAATTATATAAGTATGTGTTTTATTATTTAAAGATTAAATTTAAAATAATCTTTGATTTTATACTTATATAAAAAATAATATGAAAAGTAAGGAATTGATTTGTGTTTTAAATAATTTCGAATATAAAAAATAAATTGATTTTTTTTTTTTTCATAAATATTCGAACAGTGATAACATTTACAATTTTTCACACAATTAATCAATTTATTAATTCTAAAAATTTTAAATTTACATAAATTTTCTTAAACTATCTATCCAAAAATCAAATACATCTTTATTAATTTTAATGTAAAAATGACCAGCTAAAACGTCAAAAATAGAATAAATTTCATAATTTTAGAAACTAAAAAACTAAAGTAAATATTTAATAAAAATACCATCTTTTTATTATTTTTCTTATTCTAAATTGTTTTATTTATTTTATTTATTTTTTTATTTCAAAATTCCATTAACATAATTAAAAAATTAATTTACAAATTAAAGATTATTAAAACAAATTAATGTATCTGAAAAAGCATCATCATTAAAAAACAAAAATCTAAGTTTTATAAATTTTTACTAAATTTGAATTTAATAAACTTTATAATATTAAATTATGCTATTATTACAACAATTATTAATAGCAAAGTTTTCTAAATTTTGAATAAATTTTAAACAAAAGGCATTATCAACATTATTTCTTTATGTTTTGAAAATAAAGTTTTTGAATTCCTATACTTTATAACTTCCATATAAAAATTTAAGAAAATTTTAAATAAAAACTTCATATTATATATTTTAAAAAATTTATTCAAAATATATTACAATCTACTTATTTTTAGAAATTTCTTAAACCAATTATTATATTAAATTTTTATCTTTTTAAATCATATGATGTCCAAATAAAAAAGTTCTTGTTTTCTCTAACTTTTCTAATATTTCATATATAATATTTTCTTAAATGTTTAATTCTTTCCAAAACTCAAAAACACTTATTTTAATTAAATAAAAGTCAATTATGCTTATTTGCATATTTTATTTTAATTTTTATACATATGTTGAAAAATGCTTAAAATTAGACATTAAAAAGCATTATATTGCTTCTATTATTTATTCTTTTTTTTCATTTTCTGATATATTTATTTATATTTAGTATTTTTATGTTAAATATTCTACAGTTTTTTCAAAAATATCTCTTATTCTTGTAAAACCTCCTAAATCTTATATTATGTTTTAACAAGAGAGTAACTCTTTAGCTTTTAAATTAAATTATTTAGTAAATAATTCGGGGTTTATTTATTATTTATTGAGTATTTCTTCACAGATTTTTAAAATTTAATCTTATATTTATTAAGGTAGTTTAAAATTTTATATCTAATCATTATTTTATTAACAGACTTATTAAAGAAAAGAAGTCAGATAGAAGATAAATTATTGCTTATTCATGTTTTAACTTTTTAAATAATTATCAAAAAACACATTCTATTCAATTTATTAAAGTATTTCATTCCTAAATAAAGGAATACATTACTAAACTTAAATATCATATTCGATATTATATTAATTAAATTCTTTATTATTATTGTAAAAATTATTAATACTATTATTATTATTATTATTATTATTATTATTATTATTATTATTATTTTAATTTACGTAAATTCTTTTTTGCATTTATTACTAAATAAAAAATTAATTATGATAACCTGATTTTGTTAGTGAATTACTATTTTATCGCAATATTCTATTATTGTTTATTTAAGGTAATTTTTTTCGACTATTAATATTTTGTCTTAATTTTATCTACTATTTATTATTTTCATATTTATCTATATCGTTAACTGAACATTTTTATTATTTTTTATTTATTTTTATTACAGGTGATTTCTATTAATAATCTATATCGTTTGCTGAAAATTTTTATAAATTATTTAATTTTTTTATCCATGTTTTTTTCGAGCTATAACTTTTTTCATTTTCAAGTTCAAAAAGCGGAAAACTATTATTATCATCTTTTTGTTAATTAAAATTAACTATTTTTTTCAAATTATGGTCTTTAACATATTTATAGTAATTTTTGTATAATTTTTAATTATGTTAATAAGTTTAGTCAGCTTAATATTAATCTAAATATAGCATTTTTTAAAAACATTTGATATTTTTCTTAGTTTATTATATTTCCTAAATTTTTTTTTTTTTAAATTATATTTTAGCTAATCTTATTTATTTTTGAATTAAATAGTAGATTGATTATCATCTAATCTTATAAATTATAATTTTTGTTTAACTTCAGAAAGATCATCTGAATTAATATTTGTATGAGTAGAATTATAGCATTTTTTTCTTTTTTTGAATTTAATTTATTATTAAATTTAAGTACTTGATTAAGGTTTAGTGATTTATTATTAAATAATTTAATTTGAAGTTTCGATATTTTTAAGAGAGTTATTTTCAAAATCTAAATTTGTAAAAGTCGCTAATGATTTTATTTAAATTGGCTTTTTTTATTATATTATTATTTTTGCTTTTCCCTATATTTTTTAAGGACTATTGTTTGCTGATATGTTTTTTCTTACGAACAGATTATTTTCTTACGAACTTAATAATTATTAACTTATTATTCTTGATTTCATATTTATTTATAATTTATAATTTATAATTTACAATTTTTAATTTAAATATTTTTTTTTATATATAATTTATTAATAAATTATCATACACTAAATAAATGCGTAAAATTTAGATTTAAATACAATAACTAATAAAAGTTTCTTAATTATAGTTATTATTACGTGAATAAAATATAAGCCAATAAATATAAAATTTAAATAAAGAAAAATTTTAATATTTATTTTAGTTAAAATTTTTAATTAATACATTTTTTTAAAATTATTTAATATTATTTAGTTTAATTGCTCTTTCTAATATTATAATCTAAAAAATAATTTTTTATATTATAATATTAATAAATATTATTATTTAAATAAACAAATTAAGTATAAAAAGAATTATAAATATTTATTAATGAGTTATGTTAGATAAAGTATTTTACAAAGAAAATAAAAAACGTTTTCTTATCATAATTAAACTACTTTGGTAAATAATTTTTATGCTTTATTTTAAAATCTAAAGTAGGACATATAGTTTCAATAAGAAAAACAAAAAATTGATTTAAAAAAATAACAATAAGATTAAATATAAAGTTATAGATATGTAGTTTTGAAGGATCTCGACAAGAAAAGCAATAAATTCGGTAAAAAATTAATTTTAATTTTTTTAATTTTTTAATTAAATATTAAAGCTAATAATATAAATAAGAGCTTGAATATTTATCAAAAGTAAGATAAGACTATATTTAAAATTAAAAGAAAAAAGACTAAAATGTAAATAAATAAATTAATAAATATTTGATGCAACAAATAAAAGTAACATATTATTTTTATTTAAATAAAAAAATTATTTGATTCCCAATAAAGTAAGATATTTTAAAGTAAAATGAAAAAAAATAATGGGAAAAGTAAATAATGAATTAAAATTTATAAGTAATTTATAACATCTTGAATATATAAATAGTTATTTATTTATATTTAATAGCTAGTTGAAGAAAAATAATAGAAACTTAAATAAGATAAATAAAAAGAACAACTGCAAGAATTATAAAATATTTAATAATCGTAAATAATTTATTCAAATTATAGATGATATATTCTTTTAAAAGTTAAATTAAGAATTTAAATAAAACAATAATAATTGTTAAATTATTATATTTATAAAAGTATATCTTATTTTTAATTTTTTTATTAGTAAAAGTACATAATAAATACATAATAATTTAAAAACATTAAAAATACAAATGCCTTATTTTAATTAATATTTATTTTAATTTAATCATGATTTTTAACTTATTTTTTAATTATTATATTTTCAAATATATATATAACAAAATTGTTTATTGTAATAATATTAAATATATATATAGCTATTTTATTAATTTTATAAATTTTATTGTATTTTTTTAAAAATTATTTTTATTAATATTAATTTCAATAATCGTCAATAGGTTCGAAAAATTATTTTCTAAATTTATTATTTTATATTTTTTCAAACTCTTCTTATTCTTCTGGTGTAGGAGGATTTCTCCATCTCCATTCTAGATCGATTTCATCTCTCGCTTCTTCAACAAACATATGCACAGCTACATCTCCAAAATCTAAAAGAAGCCACTCATCATCTTTTCTTCCTGAAATTTTAAAGGAACGTTATTAAAGATGTGGAATGTCTAATTCTCTAATAGCTTTTAATAAATTGCTTGCTATTCTATAATTATGTCTGCATGAATAGGATGATAATATTATCCCATAACGAGGTAAATCAGTTCTATTACATTCTTCTAATAAATCTATGCACGTTATATCTTTTGCTTATTCTAGCTTTTATATTTTTAATTAATTTTTTTTTTCCAATAAATATATATATTTTTATGCATATATTTATCTTTTTTATTTTTACTTCTAAAAATGCAATAACTGCTTCAGGATTAGGATATTCACCTTTTTTAAAGAAATCTATTTTTTTTTAATTAATAAATAATTAAATGTATTATTTTTTTTTTACTTTTTTATTGTTTCAATAATTATCCTCCTAGACCCCAAACAACTCCTTTTTCAGGTCTATTTACTAATTTGTTTGCATATGGATCATCTCCTTAATATAATAATGTTGAAGAAATAAATTTGATTTATTCTTTGTTTGTGATTGGTTTGCTATATAAATTTAATTCTTAAGATTCAAGTTCATTTTCATTATTCTTAAAAATATTTATTTTATGCTAATTATCTTCTTCTTATTCTTCTTTTTATTAGTTAAATATATCTTCTAATTATTCTTATTATATTTGTTTTTAAAGTGGGCCTGCTTGAAATTTTTTTACTTTTATTGGCCTTGCAAATTTTCTTATAAGTTATTAGCATAAAAATTTTTTCATCATATATAGTTTTTTTTTATAAATAAAATCTTAATTTTATAAATTAATATAATTTTGATTCTTTGTTTTTTTCTTTTTTGAGAAAAAAAAAAGTAATTCATTTTTAATATTAATATTTAAGAAAAAAAAAAATATTTAATAAAATAACTAATAATTATAAAAATTAAGATAATAAAATAAAATCTATTTTTTTTCATAAAAAAAAAATTGACAATCAATTATCCATTCCCATATAATTAGAAATAATCTAATATATATTCGAAATCGGAAAAGCACTTCCTTATCCTCTCAAAGAAATTCTTAAATGCTCTTTATAAGCGTCATTACCTTCAATTTAAACCATAATTGGTAAATTCTTTACACTATTATTTTCCACATCCTTATAAACAAACTATCCAACTCCATTAATTAAACTCAATCTATTCATATCCGGCAATCCCATAACTTTAAGACTAACCACATTACTCAAAAGCCCTCCGGCCTTCTTTAAAACTTCATGAATAGGAACATTTAAAGGTGCCGGGTTAGGGATAAAGCAGTCTAATTTATAAGCCTAATCTGAAGAATAATTTTTCCAAAATTTATCAAAAGCTTCTTAAGGCATTTCAACTCTTTAAATGAATTTATTTGTAAATATAGGTAAATGGAATTCCACTTTTTTCGCTTATCCCCCAACCGAATATTATAAAATAGCTTATGGGAAAAACACTCTAGGCTCTGTACTCATAGCTTGCATCATAATTTGGGGATTTTCATCATATTTAATAGGCGAAATGTTAAACTCCATTCCATTACTTTCATTATTGGTAATAGAAAAAGTCACATTTTCCATTTTCCCGATTTTACTTTCGAATTACATTGCGATTTTGCCCATATGTTATTAATAATCACTCTTATATTAAACTTATAATTCTGAACTCTAATATACTATTCCCATATTAGTTGGCAATAAATTTTTTATTTCATTCATATTATTTATATTAGCTATAGTTTTTAAAGCAATAGGAATAGCTACTAAATTAACCCCCTATGTTACTATACTATTAGGATTCATGTCATATAAAACATTATTTTTTAAATTTTCAATATGCTTTTCTAAAGGTAATCTGGCCTAAGGAGTCATTTAATTCATAGAAGTGCTTGCACCACCTCCCTTTGTTAAAAACTAAACAGCTTCTTGAGCTCTTCTTTGATTTTCTAAAGCTACTGTAGGATCTTGTTATTCTTTTTTAGAACCCATTTTTAATTTATAAATACGTTTTATTAATGGATTATCTCCTTATATATCTACTGAATAAGGTGGCTATTTACTATAAACTAGCTATTAAATTTATTAACTTTATTAAAGTAATGCATTATATTCAACTCCCTTTATTTTTTATTTATATTAAATTAATATAAATATATACTCTTTATTATAAATCAGGATCAAAATGTTCAGAAGCAGTTTCAAAAATACTTTAAATAATACCTGAAAGATTAGGATATCTAGCAGCTAATTTTGCGTATGCATTAAGTAACATTTGTCTTCCTTTTTCCGATGAAAGTGTATAATGTCTGTTCAAAACATCGAAAATCCTCTAAGGATCCTTTCCTGCATCTACTAATAAATTGGAATACTCCGAAATCACAAAAGCGCCTATTCGAACTAAATTTTCATGTGCATGAGGTATATTTATGCTTTAAAATAGCCTCAAAGCAGCATGTTTTTGCAATTCAGGATTGGATTCTTTTCCAAAGCCGACAATCATTTAAATAACTCGAAACCAAATATCATCTGTAACGTAATCACCTGAAGAAGTAATCAGTTTTATTATACAATCGATATACCAAATTAAATTATCGGCATATTTTTCAGCTAAAATGGCTATTTTAAGTACTAATTCTTCCCTTATTAATAAATCTACTTTTTCTTCTGCATAAGCAAGTAATTCTTCAACTATTTTTTTTGCAGTATTTTAAGTGCACATCAAATAAAGTAAGTCTAAAGCTCTTCTTTTAATCGAAATATCGTTACTTTTGAGACTTTTTAATATTGTAGATAGATGTTTTTCGACTAGTTCTTCATTATCATGTACTACCTTGCACATTACTTCTAGTCCTAAGTATTTGAAATTTGGTTCTCGAACTGAAACAAATACTCCGAGCTTTTTTATAACATCATCCATCTTTTTTTTTGGAAAATTGTCGCCGTATTGAATTATTAAGGACGTTGCTTCGAACAAAATACCATGTTGAACATTGTTTCTATTCACACTTTTTGTTATATCAACATTTATTAATAATTTGAGAACTTCCATGATTATTTTTTTCACACTTTCATCATTAGGAATGTTAAATAGACTCAATATTTTTAATAATTTGACCTATAACCATGGATTTGGACATCCATAATATTTATAATCTTCTGAACATTCCTTATTTATTACTAACTTTCCTAATAATTTCACTATCCTAGGTACTACTTCTTCAAAAAGACTAGCAGAAGTCATTTAAGCGACTCCTAAAAGAAGAGAAGAAGCTGCATTAAGGAAACTTTATGAACTAATTTCTATTTTATTTTTTTATTTTTTATTTTATATATTTATTTATTTTAACTTCCATCAAACATCTTTACTATTGCAGGAACCCATTTAGTGGGATCATATTTTTCATTATATTTTCTATACATTCTAAGCAAACACAAAATTGCTTTTTTTCTTGCATTTACTGAACATGTTCTTTCTCCTAAAGCTAATCTAATAATTTCAGAATCTAATTATTCTGTTAATTCCCTTGGAGCTAATGCACCTATCATAGAAATTGCTAAACATTAGTTTATTTCATTTGTGCTTTGTAAGTCTTATTTTATTGCTTAAGAAATAGCTTTGTATATCTAAGAATCTCCATTTTGAGAATCTTTAACTGAATCTTTTACTAGTATGCCTTTTTTTATAATTTTATTATTTTAAAATAGAATAAGATTTTTTATACCTGTAGCTATATATCCAGTATATTTTTCAGAAAATTTTGAGGAATTTATTAAATTTGCAGCTTAGAAATGTCCGAAATCAATTTCATAACCTAAGATGTACATATAAAGCATTTTCCATACATATTTTTTGCGCTAATAACCTGATATTCCTTTATTTTCGAATTTGTTTCTTATTTTAGCCAATTCTTTAGCTACTAACGATTATTCTTATTCTTTGTTCTTGCATTAGCGGATGTCTTTTATGAATTATAAAAGACCGTTCATGGTTTCTTAAGACATTATTCCTGTTTATTTATTTATATATTTTTATTTATTTTTTTGAATATTTTTTTTGTATTAATTTTATTTTTTAGAAATTTATGTATAATTATTTATTTTTTATTTATAAATTTATTTAATTGATTATAAAATATAAAAAAAATATTTATTTATATTTTCCTCTTTTAAAGTATTTTTTATCAAATTAATTATTTTTTATATATTTAATAAAATATACATATAAAAAAGATTTTCAAAAGTAACAATAACTAACCAACTCAATATATTAATTAAATATATTCGAATAAAACAAAATAATATAAATTCTAAAAAGTTAAACTAAATATATTATAAAAAATAGTTATAAACAATAATAAAAAATTATATTTTTAATTTAATTAAATTATTAACTAATCTTCATTTTATTGATATTTATATTTACAAAATTAAATAAAAAAATAAAAGTATAAAAATATGAAAGGAAAAAAAAATATATTAAAAAAAGTCATTAAAAAAAATTAAAAAATCATAATTAAATAAAAAAAAATAGCACTTAAACATAAAAAAACAAAAATGGTAAAAAAAATATATACATATAAATAAATAAATCTTAAAGCCTAAAGCTCCCAAGAAAGTCACAAAACAACAAAATAAAAAAGTAGAAAGAAAGAGAAACTCTTTATTTCAAAGCAGACCTAGAAGTTTCAGAGTAGGTGGAGACATATAACCTGCAAGAGACTTAACCAGATTTGTAAGATGGCCTAAATACGTAACTCTATAAAGATAAAAACGCATTTTACTCTAAAGACTAAAAGTACCACCTCAAATCCACTAATTCTCAAGAACATTGGATAAGAATCACACAACTAGTTTGTTCAAATTACTTTAGAAATACAAACCTGAAACATCTTAAGAAAAAAAACAAAGATTAGTTGAAGCTGCTAATAATAAAGCTTAAGGAAAAGAAGTAGAATCTAAAAAGCCTTTCGTTTTAAAATATGGTTTGAACCACATAACCACTTTGATTGAAATAAAGAAGCTAAACTTGTCGTTATTGCTCATGATGTAGATCCTATTGAATTAGTTATTTTCCTTCCTCAACTGTGCAGAAAATAGGGTGTTCCATACGCTTTTGTTAAAGGTATTTTATTATATTTTTTACATTTATTAATCTAACATATCATTAATAATAAATAATAATCATAATTATTCATTTTAATTCACAAAAAAACCTTACCAATGACCCCATTTTTTTAAAAATTTTTAAAAATAAAATAAAATAAAAACGATATGAAAAGAAAAAAATATTTTTTTCTTTTGAAATATTGTTTTTATTGATAATTAAATATTATCATTTCTAAAAAAAAAATTAATTTAATAACATTTAATAATTAATTTAGGTAAGGCTACTCTTGGTTAATTAGTTCATAAAAAAACTGCTACTGCTGTAGCTCTCACTTCTGTGAGACCTGAAGTAAAAACAAATAATTAAAAACTTAATAACAAAACAATTTGTATTTTTTTTATAAAAAATAGGACAAGGTTGCACTTGATAACTTAGCAAGCACTTTCTTAACTAATTACAATAACAACGACGAATTAAGGAAAACTTGGGGTGGTAACATTCTAGGAGCTAAATCCCAACACAGAGTTGATGCTTAGGCTTAAGCTGTAAAAAATGAATAACTTAAAAAAGCAAAACTTTGAAGAAATCTTTACAAATTGCTTGAATTTATATGCTTTTTATAAATATATTTTTTTATATTTTTTAAAAAAATATTTTATTTAAATTTTTGCATTCATTTATATAATAATTTTAACTTTTATTTTTTAATAAAAATTATTTTATCATATAAATATATGTTTAAAATCTGTTAATATCATTTTCATTAAAGCTTCATTTTCTAAAAATGAAATGTGGGCAGCTCTACCAATCATATTATCAATAGTTTAACCTGGAATTTCAAAAGAAACATCTACTCTATGAATTCTATCACTTTGTACGTTTTTGAAAATTCCTTCAAGCATTTAATTATATATTTCTGAATTTCTTAATAAAAATTTTAAAATTTTAAAATAAATTATTATTATACTTTAAATCTTTAAATTAACCAGGAGTTTATTACATTCTTGCAGAATAAAATGGCACATAATAATCCTAAGGTGAAGAAAACAAAATAATATGCTTAAAAAACTTCAATCCATATTTAAAAGCCAATCTATAAATAAAAGTATCTTCTATTTATTTTGTTTCAGCCATTGTCATTTACTTCAAACTATATGTATTGTTCCATGTTTTCATAAACCATAACCCTTGTTTTTTTTGTTAAGCATGTTATTTAAATATATATAAAAAATACCTGCATTAACCATTTTGCTTTAACTAAACATGAATCCAAGATGTGGAGTAGAAAAAGTAATAAAAGCATGAAAATATTATTCTAAATCTTATAAATGTGGTAAAGCACTTCTTATAATTAATCCTCCTAAAGAATGTCCGACAAAACTTAATCTTAATTTAAAATAAAAATATTTTTTTATCATAAATTTAAATACCTTTATAACTTTTTACTACCTAATTAAGCATTTATAAATTATCTAACTTCTTTAGCTAAATTAAGCCCCATGATCTCAATATCACAATCTGTATCATTTTCATTAGAACATGAATGTAAAAATATCGCATCCATATGATTTATATTGATATTATTTGCGAAAAGTTTTAAATCATAAGAACTTCCTTAGAAACCATGTTAAAACACAATCACATGTGCTTCACTTTTTTTTTTTTTTTAAAAAAAGAAACAATAATAATAAAATGGTATATAATATAATATAAAAACCATGTTTTTAAAGGAGCATCTTATATTTCCTAAACAATTTTAGAATTTTTCAAAATATAGATCTCATGGAAAATAATAGGATGAAATTAAGCTTTAGGGATTAAATTAATATCTTCAACATTTAAGGGGTCTCTATTTTTATAATATTCATTTTTTCGGACTTTTTCAGCTTATTTTTTATGATTTTGATGAGTTTAGGTTTAATTTAGATTATAAAAATTATCACATAAAATTTCGTATCTAAAAATACTTTCTCCCCATTAATCTTCAATTTTGATCTTGTATTCATTGTAAAGTGTTTAAGTAAAAGTAATTGTATTTTCTTTTAATAATTGAACATATTAATTCCATAATAAAAATTAACATCCAGACAATTCATTAATTTCCTATTATAAACTAAGAACTAGTTATTTAGACTATTCTTTTTAGTCTAATTAATATTAGTCTGATATTTTTACTTTTTAGTTTATTAATTATTGTTCATCTAGTTTTTTTTATGGTCTAGGAATTTAATCTAATATTTATTTAAAATGTTACTAATCTATAATTGTCTTCTGATATATATTTACAAAGTGTTAATAAAACTTCTTATTATCTAATATAATTTACCAAATATATATATTATAAAATTCATCAACTAGCTTTGGTTAATCTATTTAAAATTTTTAAAAAATATTATTAAAAAAAAATTACATTGATATGTAATTGCTTCAAAAAATTATTCGAAATTTTCTGCCAATTGATATGCATTTAAATTTTAAGCTTACTATTTATCTTATACTACTTATAATTTCGAATTGTTAATCCTAAATTTATATCCTTTATTTTTATTTTATTTAAAAAATAAAAATATTTTTTTGAAAAAAACCTATCAAAGCAGTATGGATAGTAACATTTAATTAAGAATAATAAATATCTGTAAAATGAACAGGAATAAATTCTCTTATTCCTTAAAACGAATTGTGCAACTTACTTTCGAATTTTCCTACAACTTTAAAGTCTTTGTAATCATCATCCTTTTATTATAAAATAAAATAAATAGTTTTTTATATCGTTAATAATCAAAAAATGAAAAAAAATTACGAAAACATTTGACAATGATTAATCTGTTGTCAATTATGATAATTCTAAATGAAGTAAATCTATAAAAAAATAAAAATTATCTTCATTATACACAGGGAATGCATCAATTTCAGCTCTAAAATGGCAAATATCATCCAAATCAACAATTTCATCCATATATTTAATTACAAAAGCTTTTGAATAAAAATAAATATCATATAAGCTTGAGTCTTATTTATATTTTTAAACCATTTTTTATCTAACCTTTTATTAATCGATTTTAACTATATTATATGGATATGAATCTAATTTTTATTCTCCATTGATTTTTTATTGTATATAACATCTTAACACATACACTCCTTAATGATAAATATTTATATTTCTAAAACTTTCCAAATGAACTAATATTTCTAGTTATGCCTTTAATGACATTTATAAATATTTTTATTTGATTTTTTTAATTTATTTTAAATTTTTTTATATTATTTATAAATTAATTATATACTTTATTTACTTTTTTTTTTAAAAAAAAATAGCAGAATAAAATATTATTTTATATCTCTCATTATAAATTCCTTTTTAAATATTTTTATTTCTTATTCTACACATTAAAAATAATTTTAATATTCTATTGTAAAAAAATACAATGAATAACATTTTTATCAAACGGATTTATAAAATTAGTTTACAAATATTTATATAGTGATACTTTGATATAATGTAAAAATAAAAGGTTTTTATATTTATTTGAAAGAATATTTAGATAAAGACATCCAAATAAGCTTATTATAGAAATTTATTATTGAAGAGTAAAGTTTTATAAATAAAATAAAATTTTAATTTTTTCAACATGATTAGATATGGAACATAGATTTATAAAAATCATATAAACTATAATAACTAAACGATGACTAATTAAGCTTTAATTTAAAATTTAAAATAAAAAATAAATTATTAAATGATTTTGTATTAAATATTTATAATTTATAATAAAAAAAAAAAAAAAATGTCTTAAAGATAGAATATTTTTATTTAAACTAAAATTAAATATTTATCATATATAAAAAACATAAAAAAGCATTTTTAAGATTATAAAATTAATTTATTTTTATATTTTTAGTTTTATATTATAATTATATAATTAAAATATTTTTATTAATTAAATTTATTTTTAAATAAATATTAATGAAATAAAGAAGATTTGAATTAAAATTAAATTTAAAATCCATTAAATTTATAATTTCCTAAATAAATATTTAAAAAATTCTGTTTACGATTTCAATAAAATTAATTATAGAGTTTAATAATGTAAAATTTTTTAAGAAATTATATAAATAAAATAATTAAACATATTTAAATTGGAATTTTATTTCAAGCATAATAAAATAAAATAAAAAGCCTATGAATTAAATATAATAAATTATCTTATATAATAAAATTATATAAATTTTTAACTTATATATTGTAATTGCTTAACTTTAAATTGTTGATAAAACTATTATAACAATTTAAGATTTAGGAAAATTAAATTTAAAGTAAATGGTAAATATATTTATTACTATAATTCACAAATAAATTATTTTATTAAAAAATCAAATATAATAATAGAGTTTATAATTTATATAAAATATGTTTTAATATTTATTTACAATAAATTAATAAAGAAATTGAAGATAATGAGAAAATAAATCAAACCATATATTTACATCCTTAAAATTAAATAATCAAATCATATATTTATATCCTTAAAATAAATAATCAAATATAAAAAATATTCATGATGTTATTTATCAAATAAATAATTTAAATAATCTAAAATAAAATTACAAATACAAGTAAAATATTATAGCTTAGAAATACAAATTTACTCATTAATATTTTTTTAAAAAAATAATAAATAAATTTATAATATTTAATATAAAAATAAAAATGTATATATATAATATTTTAATAGTTTAAATAATTAATATTTATTTCAATTTATTATTTGAATTAAGATAATTATATATATGGTAATAAAATTGATAGTTTAAAACTATTTTTTGCGTAATTTTTACTAAATATATCAAAAAATATATAAACTTTAAAAAAGAGTATCTCTAAATAATGTAACATCATTTTTAACTAATAAATTAAATAATTTTAAATTGTTAATAATTAAATTCTTTAAAAATTTAATTTAATAGTTAAATAAGAAATCATTTTTTAAATATTTTAAATAGTTGAATTTCAAGTACTGTTTGTTCAATTATAATATATTTTCTATTTATTTAATATTTTTTTATTTAATAAAAAAAGTCTCGAATAAAAAAATGAAGGTCGAATTAATATAAATATTTCATATTTATAGAGGAAATTCCGAGGCTTAATAATTTATAAGAACTATACATAAGCATATATTTTACAGCTATACAAAGCTAAAATAATTTGAAGATAATGAATATGATGAAGAAAAAATTGAATATATGGACATGAATATTCAAGAATAAGCTTTATTGTAGTTTGAAAAAAATGTTAATTATTTATTTAAGAATTTTTAAAAATTTAAACTTTGAATGCTTTAAGATTTAAATTTGAGTATATAATTTTATAATATATAATTTTATTTTTATTTTTAAAAAAAGAGATGATATAGACAAAGAATAAAAAGATTTTATAATTTTTTTATTTATTTTTTAAATATATAAATTGAGTTAATTTATAAAATTAGAACTAAAAATAATTTTAGAAGACCTTTGTGTATTCTGTACTTTTATACATTTAAATATTAATTTTTAATAAAAATATATGATATAATATTAAATTGATTTTTTTTTTTTATATTTTCATCATTAATTATAAAAGAAATTATAAATATTAAAAAATAAAATATTTTTTTTTTATTTACTTGTATATTTTTTTAATTTTTAGATGATATTTAAATATTATATTAATATTTTAAGTAAAAATGAATGAAAACATATCAAGAAATGATATGATATAATGGGTTAATAATACATTAAAAGTAAACTAATAATAATTTTTAAAAGCTTTACTATTATAAAAATAGCTTAGAATTACTAAAATAGAATAACTAGGAACAGGTGCAATATATTGTTAATTATTCGATATTTTATTTCCAGGCAAGATTTAGTTAAGTAAATTAAATTGGAAAGCAAATTAAGAATATGAGTTTATAAATAATTTTAAAATTTTATAAACCGGATTCGCTAAATTAAATGTTCCAAAGCCATTATGCGTATAAAATATTTAAATTACCCAATATATGATTAATATGTATTTCTTTTAAAAAATAAAAAAAATAGATAGAAAAATTAGTAAAATGCAAATATTAAGATAATATAGAATTTGCATAATGGTTTAAAAAATATTTCGATTAACATAGCGCTAATATAAATATTTAAGAATATGATTCTGTACAAAAAAGAGGAAAAAATGAAGTTGATTTTAGTTTTATAAATATAACCAGTTAATCAAAACCAAAAAAATAAAGTGTAAATATTGGTGAATAAAATACTAGTAACAATAGTACAATGTAGCCTAATTAAAGTCAATTCGCTTCTCCTACTAAAATATCAAATTTAAATAAAAATTTTGAATAGTAAGATAAAATTTCTAATAAATAATAAGAAAAATATGAAGAAATTAAAAATGTTTAAGAGAATAATTAAAAAACGGATAAATTTAAACAATGAAAAGATAAATTTAATCTATGCCTTAGAGTTAATAATTATATTAAATAAAAAATAATAATAAATTTAATAATACAAATATTAAAACATTAAACATTTCCAAAACTTAGAAAGTTAATTAGAAATATCTGAAATTGAAAAAAGCTTTTATTTTTCGAAACTAAAAGATATTGATTTTTTGGTTGATGTTTATTCAGAATTAAGCTAAAATGATACAAAACTACATGATTTAATTGATAAGATAAGAAAAATATTATATACAACACCCGATAAAGAAACTAATATAGAAGAATTAGTCAAAATATAAAATAATTAAGAAGAAATTTGAAATAAAATAATTTAACGAAAAAAAAAAAAAAAAGTCCACCAAAATAATAAATAAAATATCAAAAAAGTTTTTTTATATATTTTATAAATTAAAATATATATATTATTATATACAATATTTTTTATATCTATTTTTTTTTTTATAATGTTTTTATTTTTTTTGAATATTTATTATTTTTTGTTTGTGTTTTTATTGGAAAACAATAATATTTTATCATATGCATTTACAATCACATAAATCTTCGTTTTCATCAAAATCGTTTTTATTTAATTATTTCCAATTTTCTATAGGAATTACTTTGTATAATTTATCTTCTTTAAATTTTATTTTATGCTTTTTAAATTCCTTACTTATTTATTCTCCAAATTTGTCAAACCTTTGAATTTATATATATTTTTTTGAATTTTTTAATATTGATCTTTAAACTATTTCTTAAGATTTATTTTATATTTCATCTTCACAAATATATTGTTCATTTAATTATAAAATCTTTATATTATCATATTATTAATACTATATTTTTTCTTGATCATCTATTAATTTCTATTATAACTCTAGTTATGTTTAATTGTTTATTATGTTGTTTGATTTAGGGCTATATTTTTAAAAAGCATTTGTCTCTAAATTAACTAATATTTATCCTTTCATTTTTTGTATGACGTATTTGTACAAATGAAATTTATTAAATTATTAAAAAAAAAAAAAATTATTGAAAAATAAATAAAAAAGAAAAAAATTAAGAATTAATAAAATAATAAGAAGAGTTAAAAAATAAAATAACTATAAAAATAATTTTAAAAACTATTCGTAAATATATAATAAAAATAAAGTGTAAATTGTATTATATCTTAATAATATAATTATTTTGGATTAGTTTAGATTTGATTAAATAATATACTAAATATATATTTATAGTATATGATTAAATACTAATATATTATTTAATTAGTTTTATTTTTAATAAATATTATTTTTATTTTAATTTATATTATTAAAAAATAGATATTTTTTAAAAATTAAATGCTTTCAATTTTAAATAGATTTTAATAAATATATTTATTGTTGAATATCTTATATTCAAAAATGAATTTTTATAATTAAAAATAAATAAAAATTATTTATACATCTATTATATTTTAATTTTATATTATTTTTAAATAATATAAATTATATAATAATTCTTTATAAATCACTCCACATAATAAAATAAATCAAATTTTATTTACTAAAATTAAATTATTTATAACTATTTTTATTTTATTCTATATATTTAGCATAAATGAGTGAATATAAAGAAGAAGATAATTATTAAGATTACGACGATGAAGAAGAGTATGAATATTACGACTATGATGATGAAAATATTTAAGATAATAATCAAAGTAAATTATATATATATTTTATAAATTTTAAATATATGTTTTTTTTTAACTATTTTACAAGATTGTATATTAAAATTTTAAAATAACTAGTATACTTCTATTGAGTATTCAGTTTTAAGAGAATAAATAATTCAGAAAATAATATAAATTTAAAATAATTATGGCATTACATTTGGAAGAGCAGTTTTACTTTTTAAAATAAATGACTATCAGTTCATTGACGATTTCAATATTCCAAGCAAATATATTAATGATATTTATATAGAAGAAGATAGATAATTATAAAAATAAAAAAATTTAAATGTTTTTTTTAAAAATACAAAATAAAAAATAAAAGCAAATTCATTTTTTATAAAAAAAGAAATGCTTATTATGTGGCGATATTTTTAAAGAAAACAAAAAATATAGTTTAGAATGTTTACATTATTTTTGTATAGATTGTTTTGGTCAATATATTAATTACAGTTTTTAGGAAGGATAATACATTATATTTAAAACATGTCCTCTTTATGGATGCAAAGAAAGAATAGGATTGTAAGAATATAAATAATTTTAAATTAACATTAAATTGAAGTCACAATAAATTTATTTTAAAAAATGTTTTGAATTAATGTAACCATGTAATTTTTTTTTAAAAAAAAACATATAAAATAAAATATTATAAAAAAGTACTTATTATGCCCTAGTCCTAATTGCTAATATGTATAAGCTTGCTCATTCAAATCTTCTTTAAAAGACTGTTAGCATAACATAACGTGTAAATGTAGTTGTAACTATTGCAATTTGGTATAAAAAAAAGAAAATATATAAAAAAAAATTAAAATAGTGTTTTGGTGATGCTCATCTTCCATGCAGTTGTGAAATGCTAAAAAACTGGCTAATATTACTCGGAGGTAAGAGTTCTGAGAATTTAAATGACACTTGGATTAAAATGAATACAAAAGACTGCCCTAAATGCAAGACTCATATATAAAAAAATTAAGGTTGCATGCATATGAATTGCAAAAATTGTAATTTCCATTTTTGTTGGCTTTGTAGGGGAGAATGGGTAAATCACGAAAGTTTTTATGAATGTAACAAATATAAACCTAAGGTTGAATAGAAAAGTGATGATGAAATAATGCTGGAAAAATATACTTTTTTTAGTGACAGGTTTACTGAGCATATTTCAAGCATCAAGTTTAGTTTAAAAGAAGCACAATAAAAAATACAAGCATTTAAAAGTTATGAATAAGTAATCAACTTCTAAGAAAATAAATTTGATGATGGAGAAATGATGTTTTATGAAAATGCTTTTAACCTTGTATTGTAAGCTAAAAGGGCTATAGCATATACTTATCCTATTGGATATTATATTTAAGAAAACAAAAGGGAATTCTTCGAGTTCTAGCAAGGATAAATAGAAGGGTAAGTAGCTAAGTTAGAGGATATTATTACTTAAATTGACTTTAATAATTTTTTTTAAGATAATTAAGATTGTTAATTCTTAAGTAATAGTTTTTTGGCCTATAGGTAAAAGGTTATTGATTTAACATCTATTCTTTAAAAATATTTAAATGAAATACTGAGAGATTTTAAAGATGGTTATATATATAATTGTTTATTTTAATTATATTTTTTTTTTCACTTTAAGAATTACCTTAGTTAAAGAAAACATAAAGCAAGTCATTGAAATAATAACCAACTTTTACAAAAACAAATAGTAGAAAAATAACCAAATAATGAGTTTAGGGCGTTTATTTATTAAATAAAAATCAACTCAGATTGGTTGCTTAAATTTAATTTATTAAAGTTAATATTAATATAAATAATCTTTAATATTAGTACTTATATTTATTATTTTTTAATATTAAATAATATTATTTAAAGTTTTTACTCTTAATAATTATTTTATTTTAATTTAATATAAAAATTCAAACAAAAATAATAAATTTTATTTTTTATATTTAAAATTAACTTGATTAAATAATAAAATTACTTTATTATTAATAATTTTTTAATTTTATTATATAATTTATTAAAAGATTTATTTATGCAATAAAAAATATTTGTTTTATTATTCACTAATCAGTATTTACGAAATCGTTAAAATAAAATAATAAATTTTCATGAAAATTTATGTAAGCTAAAAAAATATAAAATAAATTTATTAAGATCTTAAATCATTATAAATAATTAATAATATTTTAAAGAAAAATAAATTTGAATAAATAATATGTATAATATATATATATATATATATATATATATATATATATATATATATATATATATATATGTTAAATAAAAATGTATTCTATTTTCCATATTCTAAACTAGATGATGAAATTTTCTATTTTTAAGTTATTTTTGAAAAACATAATTATAAACAACCACACTCTTCGTTAAAATTATAAATAAAAATAATTACTTTAATATTTAAAAAGTAGTTTTTTAAAGCAAGAAAGTTAAAATTTAAAATAATAATAATATTCTTTTATAACTTCAAAAATAATTATAAATTTATTTTTATAATAAATAAGTTTAATTATGTTCATTTTTATTTGATTAATTTTTAAATTTTATATAATGAAATACATTATTATTATCTTTTTGTTATTGATTTTATATGATGAGATTATATTTATCACTTTTTTGTTAACTTAATTAAATATTCTATATTTTTATATTTTCGATTAATATTTTGATAGATTATTAATGAATAATTAATTTTTAATGTTGTTTCTTATTATTATACCACTAAAGAATTTAAATAATATTTTAAAAAAATATTTAAAATTAATAAATAAAAAGAAAGTAACTATCATTATGATTATTTCTATTTCAAAAAAACTAAATATACTAATATTAAAGACTTTACATTAAACAAAATATAAAAAAATATTCAAAATTAAATATTTACTTAGAATCAAAGAAACTTTTCTAATAAATAATATAAAAGGATAAATATCATTAATATTAATATTTAAGATAAAATTAAATTTATTCTTAATAATATTAAATAAATAAGGAAAAAATATTCAATCAAATTATAACTTTAAAAAAATGATTAAAATATAATTTTAAATGAATTTATTTTAATAAAAGTATACTAAGATTATATTAACAGATTAAATAAAATTTAGAACAAAATATAAAAATTATTATATTATCTTTTGTATTATTTATATTATACATTTTTATTTAAATACAAAAATTAATAAAAATAATAATTATACTATGTATAAAATTAAAAAATGTTAAAAAAAACATTAAAAAATAAAATATTAATTTTTATAAACATATGCATAATATTAATATTTTTTTTTAACAATTTTTTTATATTAATAATAAACCTATAGAATTAATTTTGTAATAGTAATATTACGTTTTAAAGATTTACATAAATATATTATAATCATAAGATATTAAAATTATAAAAATAAAAATCAATTATTCAGATTTTAATATTTTATTAATATGCATGTCTATTGCGTTTTTTTAAAAAATTATATTATCAAAAAAAATCTATAAATTCACTTTCATCTAATTAACTATCCTAATTATTCAATCTTAAACTAAAATAAGAAACAGGCTATATGGGTATTAATTCTTCTTGTATAAAATTATATTATGGTTATGTATTAATAATATTTTATGAATCAAAAGGAGATTCAAATATAGAACTATTTAATCTATTATTCCATGTTCCTAGTCTTGATAATTAATTTCTTTAAATAAATCTAAGTATGCTTGATTAACGAATTTCATTATTTTCTTCATTATTACTATTATTATCCTACAAAATGTTATTCATTTAAAAATGTTAACCTATTTATTTATCAATTGCTAATTGATATAGATCATTCAATAATTTTACAAATTCCGAAATTCTTTTTTTTTGTTTTTAACTTTTATTTTGATTTCTTAATTAATTTCTGATTTCGAATAATTATGCTTTTTCAATGTTCTTGTCTAGGACTATTGTATTTAAAACTTTACTTAAATATGATTTCAAACTTTGGCGAATTTAAAGCTAAAATATTCTATTTTTGTAAAATTATAATACGTGTTAATTTCTTTCTTATTATGATTGTTTTGTATGTATTTTGGATTCTTACTTTTATTTTTCCTTTTATTATTTTATTTTATATCCCATTTTTTTAAATTTTTTTTAATCTTTGTTAGTTTTTAATTAAAATATAATTTAAATAATTATATTAAATTAGGTAAACATTTTTTAAGTATAACAAATTTAAAACTAAATATATTTTCTTATAGAAAAATTTAAATTTGATTGTATTAGTAAAAAAAGAATTATTCTCGATATTAAATAAATAAAATTTTTTTTGATGTTTAAAAAACTAATAATATTATACTATAGTAATATTATATTTATATATATATACATTTTAAATTTGATAATTAAAATATTTAAATAATTTTATTTATTTTAGAATAAAATGTAATCATTTTTAATAATTTTTTATTCCTTTTTATGATTTAAATATTATAAAATGGTATTATATTAAAAAAAATTCAACCATAAAATATATTTCTTACATTTTATTAAAATAAATACTAAACTATCTAGAAAATAGAATAGTTATTATCATTTTTAAATAGAATTCTAATTTTGGTATTATCATTAAGTTAATATAAAAAAAAAAATTTAAATTATTAATTTTAATTTTTTTCTTTTTTTTTTCTCATAAAATTAATAAAAATATAAATTTAGCGAAAAAAAAAAAAACATATATATAATTTAATTTTTTATCATATTTTCATATTATGACTATTATTAATTGGAAAGAAATCATATTATTAATTATTTAAGCATTCTTTAACATATTTTTCAATCCTATCACATTAATTAAATTATTTCGAATTGATATAAATTATATAATTTAGATAATTAAAAATATTATGTTCCATATTTATATGGGTATCCCAATCAAGTATTTTATCATCAAAATATTTTTTAAAAATTCCACAAACCATACATTTTTCGGTATTACTTTTTTCTTTTTTATGTTTAATTTCTCTATATTCGGCATAAGAATCAATAATTTACCCTAAAAAAGTATTAAGCATCAAAAAATTAATAAAAATCCAAAAAGTTAAATCAAAGAAGAATCTTTCCCAATAATCATTTTAACCTATAATTTTTATAATTATAAAAAATTAAATTAAATATTTATACTTTTATCGATATTTTTTAAAACTCCGTGAATACCTTAAGGATTAATTAGACCTTATAAAATATTAAAAATAAAAGTAGTATACATATATTCATTAGTTGTATTATTATAAGCTGATCTTTAAGGATAATTTCTGTCTAAATAAACTTCAGAATAAGAAGATTTTAAAATTAAAGATGCAATCAAAGTATAAACATAAATAATAATTATTGTAGCAAAAACAATTTAAGCGAATTTCTTATAGTTTAAAGTTAAAATTTTATAGAGTTGGTAAAGACTACTGCTTCTTTTAAATACATCTAAAAGTAATATTGAGAAAATTATTTTACTATATATAGCTAAAAAAGATAAAACAAAGTAAAAAACATAATATAATATATTTATATCTGAAATATAAGCTTTGATAATATTTTATATTTTAATCTATTTTTAAAATTAATTTTAGTACTTGAACATTAATTTCGGATATCTAACAATAAGCTCTATTTATAAAGTACAAAATGATAATATTAGATGAGTTATGAAAAATGCTAAAAATGTCTTTTTTTTAAAAAAAAATAACTAAATATATAATGAATATATATACAAGTTCGCTTTTTAATGGTAAAATAGAATTATTTTGACCTTCAAAAGTCATACTTATTAAAAATATTAAATTTATTATAAAAATAAATAATAAAGTTATATCTTTTATAATATCAGAATTTTTAATAAAAAACTGCAATAAAGGATATTGTTAAAATTTTTTTTCTTGAGATAATGAATATTAAAAATATTTACTTTCGTTAACTATAAATTCTAAATTATTCTATGTTTAAATTTTTTTTATTTTTAATTTTTTTTTTTACTTTATCATATTAATTATAAGCTTTTTCTTAAAAATCTTTCTTTATATTTTAGGTTATATAATGTGATAAAAAGGGTAATTTAAATAATACTTTTACTCTTTAATTATTTTAAACTATTTCAACCATTCCAATAAATCTGGAATAAAATTATAAACTTTAATTTATAAATTATATTTCCCTTTATATTATCTAATTATATTATTGATTAATATTTATTTTCTTTTGCTAAAAATCTTCAATTTATTATTTAGATGCCTAATTATCTTTTAATGTCTAATAAAAAAATATAATTATATAGCTTATTTAATTTTTTTTTTAACCGATAATTCGTCATTTATTTCTGAATTGTCTTATTATTTTAATGTCTTTTTACTTGTAAATTTATGTCTTTGTAAATTAATTTTTTATTTAATTTCTTTGCTTATTAACAACTCATTTGCTAATTTTTAAAATTTAAAATTATTGTTATTTATTTATTCATCTTTTTATATTTTGAATATTGATAAATAAAAATTTGATTCTGTATATAATTTACTTTAATAATTCTATTATTT